TTGAACCACTGACTGTGAGATTGGCAGCCCAATTTGTAACCACTACACTACCAGAGCTCCTTAGCAACCAAAAATTTGTGAGTGCTTACATAGGTTAATATGTGTGCTATATGTGTGGGAGGGTTTATAGGAATTCATCCATGTGTATATATAGGTATTGTTGGTGGTCATTAAGTGCTGTTGAGTCAGTTTTGCCACATAGTGACCCTATATAGAGTTTCTGAGGAGCAGTTGGTGAATTTGAACCACCAACCTTGTAGTTCAAACCAACCTTGTGGTCCAGTTCATTAACCCACAAATCCATAGGTATAGTTGTAGGCATTTGTATATACATACTTATATGTGCTTCATGTACATGAGCGTGCATAGAGATAGACAGATTGTCTGTTGCTGTAGTGGGTATAATAAGATTCCACTTTTGTGAAAACCCAGAACAGACAGAACTAATATGAGGTAGTAGAAGTCAGAAAGTGGTTACAGGGCAGAGGACAGATTGGAATAAAGAACTGACTGGAGAGGATATGAGGGAACTTTTATGGGATAATGAAAATATTCTTTTTTGAAGGGAAATACACAGGTATATATAAAATTGTTAAAGTTCATTGAACTGAACACTTAAGATATATATATTATACTTTACATAAATTAGATCATTGAAAATTGTTCCAAGTAAAAAAATGGAAAAAGACTTTATAAGGATTGACTTAGAAAAGACATCTACAATATATTCGCAAGTGGAAAAAAGTTAAAGGCAGTATTATATAGCATTATTTCATTTTTTAAAAAAGGTATATATGTATATATCTATCAGAATAACCATAGTATTGGATAAGTGGTGAAACTTGGGCTAATTTGTATTTGAGTGTTTTTCCATATTGTTAAACCTTTTTAACTTTAAATATAAAAGAGAAATAAATGGAGGAATGAGCAAGGGAAGAAAAGAAGGAGGGGTAATTTAATCCAAGTTAAAAACAAAACAATGAAGAAAGAAAACAAAAGGAGACAATGATACAACAAAACAAAAATAAGCATAAATGAAAAATGGTTGAAAAGATATTGGTATACCTCATTTTATTACACTGTGCTTGGTTGTGCTTCACAGATATTGCACTTTTCACACAATGAAGATATGACAACCCTAAATAGAGCAAGTCTGTTGGCACCATTTTTCCAACACCGTGTGCTAACTTCAAGTCTCTGTGCCACATTTTGGTAATTTTCACAATATTTCAAACTTTTTCATAATATACTTAATAGACTATATTATTGTTAAGTGCTGTCGAGTTGGTTCTGACTGACAGCGACCCTGCTTAGGGTTTCCGAGGAGCAGCTGGTGAGCTTGAACTACCGACCTTGCAGTTCAAAGCAACTCTGCAGTCCAGTGCATTAACCCACAGTGCCACACCAGTGCTCCAATAGACTATCTAATACAGTGTAAACATAACTTTTATATGTACTTGGAAACCACAAATTTCATGTGACTCTCTTCATGCAATATACACTTTATTGTGATAGTCTGGAACCTAACCATCAATGTCTCCAAGGTATGCTTTTAGCAAGAAATAGCTACAGATTCATGGAAGTTATAGGCAGCAAATCTATTATCGAGATACCGATTCATTCTGAAAATAGCAGATTTTAATATGAGTGCTAAGAGCAGACCACACTATTTAATGATCATTGGTGCAGGCAGAAAGATGGCTTTGAAGAATTAACTTTATTTAACTGAGACAATCTGTCCGTTCATTGTTCTTAGCTGGTTACACTGCTTCCGTCACCTATAGGCCTTATTGTTGATGAGTAGAAGGAAATGTCTAGGAGTATATCAGGTGAATAAGAGAAACATCACAAAGAGGAAGCTAGGAAGATAGTTTTCTTAGCCACTAGAAGATTATTGTGGTTGGGTGTCATCCAGGTCCTGGAGGAGCCTCTATTAGTAGATACCCTATACTGGAAAAGTCCAGTTCATTAGTCTGGTGTGATAAATTAAAAACATCCATTCTGCTTTGATGGATTGGTAGAATATTCTAGAGCTAGGCTCGAAAATCTAATGTCACCACTGTGCACAGAACTACCTGAGAGAGACGTGATAGGACTGACAAGAAGGACAGTAAATAGTTTTTAGAATTAGTGCCTCCAGATTAAATCTTGCACACAGTGGAGTAAACTCGTTTCTTCTCTGATTTAGATTCAGTTGACCTACAGAAAGCAAAGGAACATAATCAGAGACTGAATGAAGAAATTCTGGCCCTAAGAAATCGGGTTCGATCACTTGACTCAGAAAAAAAAATGCTTGGGGAAGAGGTAAGTTGTTTAATGGTGTTGTTAAATTAATTTAAATGTACATACAGTTACTTTCAGCAGGTACAGTAACAGATGTACATCACATAAGCTGGCCATGGGACAAGTGATACTAGTGGTTACTAGTGGTTATCTCAGACGGGATGATTTTACATGCCAAATTTGGATTTAGATGCATTCTACAGGCTTTTATACAGGAGAAAGATGCGGCTTTCTGCCTCCGTAAAGATTTATAGCCTCAGAAACCCTGTGCGATGTCGCTGTGAGTCAGAACCGACTCCGTGGCCTACCACTACCACCACTACCATAGGCTTTTATATTTTGCATATATTTAGGACAGTAGATTGCAAGCTGGGTTGCAGGTCAGCAGTTTGAAGCTACCAGTGGATCTGTGGGAACAATCTGTCACCATCAAGGTTTACAGCCTTGGAAATCCTTTATATGGTTTCTGAATCAACGGCACACAACCACCACTTCCACTACCATGCCAATAGTATTCTTATTGTGTCAATTTAGGACCTTTTCTTTTTAATAAAGATTTAAATAAGTAGTTTATGCTTTGCACATTTACCAAATAGAATTATCATATTGAATATATTTAAGACAATTAATACTAAACCCTTTGTTGTTGTTGTTGTTATGTGCCGTGGAGTCGGTTCCAACTCATAGCGACCCTGTACAGGGTTTCCAAGGCTGTAAATCTTTACGGGAGCAGAAAGCCTCATCTTTCTCCTGTGGAACAGCTGGTAGTTTTGAACTGCTAACCTTGTGGTTTGCAGCCCGATTCATAGCCACTACGCTACCAGAGCTCCTTAGATGTATTATATTTTTAAACAATTTCCTCTTAGCAATTTATAGATTTTTAAATTCTGGATAAATGATAATGTTTTTCTAATTTTAGTGTATGTGTATACTGATTTCACAATCCTATAACTAGTGTCTAATATAATGTCTGATACATACATGGTGCTCTAGAAATTGTGCTTTAAAAATGGATTAATAAATAAATACTGAATTCTTAGTCTTTGTAATTTTACATATTTAACATGTATATAATATTTACATTTAATATGTTTATATATACATATGTGGAAAAGTTCAGGATGGGTTTTAGTTTTGTAAAGGAAAGATATTATGGAAAGTAGCAGTTCTGGATGTATATAGTACTTATGTGTTTGAATTTTTATAAGGAGAATGGATTCATATATTGTACAGTTTAAGAACGAAACAAACTCCCTCCCTCAAAATATGTTGTTGTTGCTAAGTACCATGAAGTTGATTCTGACTCATAGTGACCCTGTAGAGAGTTTCCGAGGCTGTATATCTCTATGGGAGCAGAAAACCTCATCTTTCTCCTGCAGAGCATCTGGTGGGTATGAAGTGCCAACCTTGTGGTTATCCGACAGCACCACCGGGGCTCCATAGAGCAGACACAGTGGAAACATTTACAAGGTTTCCTTTTACATTTGTTTTAAAGGTTAAAAGACTTAAAGGAGAGATTCCTGAATCTCAAGAAAATGAGCAAGTTGGAAACCACTCCCTTGGGAAAAGTGTGGGTGCTGAAGAGACAGTACAGGTATTTTAAAGTTCTGTTTTTTCTGATTTCTTTTAAAGGAGTCACATTTTACAGAGTGCTCCAGAGCAGTAGGTAATGAATTTTTGCTTCTTCTTATTCAGCTGTCTTCTACTGGTGAGCCATTTAGAATCAAGGTAGAGACTGGAGTACAGAGGTCTGCTTCTGGTCACCTCTTCTCCAGGGATTGGGACAGGCATGGGTGGTGATCAATATAGAAAGCTAATGAATTATATATATATATATATATTTTTTTTTAATCTTACAAAGAGGCAACCAATTTGAGCATTTTTAATCATCAAAGAGTTGATTTATAGAATCAAACAATGTGAAGAGGACAGGAAACCACACTGAATGTAATAAATTATTGTAGAGAACTTACAGTGTTGGTTGTTGTTAGGGGCCACTGAGTCAGCTCTGACTCACAGATCCTGTGCTCAACAGAACGAAACAGTGTTTAGGGTCCACTATGTACAGTGTCTAGACATCTGAAGGACGTGGCCAAAGGGAGCAAACAGAAGACAACTGGAAGGAAGTGCCAATGGGTTTTAGATAAGGCTGTTTAAGACATTCAGATCAAAAAGCTAGACAGCTTTGGGGCAACTTTGCCCCCTACATTGGTATGATGAATGGCATCCCCTTGTTGCTGAGCGGTCTCATGCACCAGAATTTTTTTTCACTGTAGCTGTTAGGACCCTAAAGCCCAGACCTCTTAGCTACCAGGTAAGCTATAGCTACAGTATTTCTTGGCCCATCACATAAGAAACTAGTACATTCCTATAAACCAAAGCTCACTTGCAGGTAAACAGTACATTTGTGTGAAAAGCAAACAAACAAAAATTTAAAAGAATATCTTCAATAATTTACATAAAATTATTCCCAGAGGATTGAGCAGTGCTCTAATTTAAAGTAAGTTGTTGGTGATTTCATGTATTTCAGGTAATATAGAAAAATTAGTCCTCAGCAATTAGTCCTCAGCCCAGCTATAAGCTTAGATCATTCTGGGTCTTATAAGAATAGGTAGGTACCTTTTTGTATTTTAGAAATAACCTGATGAAAACACTAATTCTAGGAAAATATAGTTAAGCAGACCTTTGGGTCTAGATCTTTCAGACTTTAATGGCGTTTCTCATCCCTCTAGACTACATTGACTGCATGCAAATAGACTTCATGCAGTAAATGAAATATTGTTTTGTTCAATGTAAGTTAGTTATGAGCACAAAATTACATCATCACCTAGTTACAGGCATTGTGATTTATTATTACCAAATCCATGGATGTTCAGATTCCCTATAGAAAATGGTATTGTATTTGCATATAACTTACACATGTTGATTTTAAGTGCACTTGAGTCAGTTCCAACTCATAGTGACCCTGTATAGGTTTTCCAAGGAGCAGCTGGTGGCTTTGAATTGCCAACCTTTCAGTGACCAGTTCAGTGATTATCCTATAGTGCCACACCATGACTCTAACTTACATAAATTCTCCCTTTTACTTTAAATTCTTTCTAGATTACCTATAATAGTACAATGCAAATATTCTGTAGATAGCACTTTCTGTTCCCCTTTTAGGCTTTGAGGGATTATTTTTGACCATCTAATTGCTTCCTCCCCTTTCCCCCTTCAATGTGTTGCATCCTTGTTTGGTTGGATCTGCAAATGCAGAGAATATGGAGAATTGACTGTAGAAGAAGCGTTTACTTTGTACAAAAGTCAAAAAAATTATACAGATGTACACAAAGAAATGCCATTTCTCACCCACTACTTCTTTCCTTCTCACTCATCCCCTATTGGTAATCACTTTTATTAGTTTCTTATTTATCCTTCCAGTATTTCCTTATTCAGTTACAAGCAATTTGAATATTTATTCAAGCCTCCTCCTCTCTTAGCAGCCTTTAAAAAAAAAAAAAAAGCAAAAAATTAAAGTGCTTCTGGAGATCTTTCCATATCATAGAGAGATCTTTCTCATTTTTATTTCGAGAAATCTAGCATCTGTTGTGTGAATGGATGTACTGTAACTTATTAAGCCAGTCCCATGGTGATGGGCACTTGTTTTTCCCCCAGTCTTTTGCATACATGTTCAGATGATTCTGTAGATTAGGGTCAGAGCAATGAGATTGTGGGGAATGTAGATACATCTGTAATTTGGGTAGGTATTGCCTGATTACCCCTCAGTGGAAATCGTCCCTTTTTCATATCCCACCGCAATGTATGAGAAGGTCAATTTTCTAAAAGAAACACCAACAGGAATGTGTTAGCACACTTTTGTATTTTTGTGATATAAAAGGTAAAATAGGTATCAGAGTGTAGTCTAATTTTCCATTTGTTGTTGTTATTGTTAAGTGCCAGTGACTTGGTTCCAACTCATAGTGACCCTGTATAGGGCCTCCGGGGAGCGGCTAGAGAGTTTGAAATGCTGATCTTGTAGTTCACATGGACCTTACTATTCAGTTCTTTATTTGACAGCGTCTCACTCATTACCTTATTAAAACAAGATTGTTTTACATAGGTTTAAGAGTTATTGTATTTTAAAATTAACTTTAATGAAATGTAATTTCATGCAGATATAATTAAAAGTATCCATTTTAAGAGTAGAATTCAGTGAGTTTTGACAAACACACACATTTGTGTAAGCACAACCACCAGAATCAAGAATTAAAACATAATCATTGCCCCCAAAACTATCCAGCCCATTTGCTATCAATCCCCCAACCCAATCACTTTCTATTAATAACCTATTCTAAATTTTCAAATAAAATAATCATCAAGCATGTACTCTTTTGTATTATCTTCTCTGACCTATCATAATATTTCTGTTATTCATTTATGTTGTTGCTTGTATTATTAGTTCATGTTTTATATTTATAAGTAATATTACTCTCTGTGAACACATATGATAAATTGTTTATCCATTCTCTGGTTGATGGACATTCAAGTTATTTTTACGTTTTGACTCTTTATTAATAAAGCTGCTATTAATTTTGTGTGGATTTGTTTTCCCCCTCTTAGGCAAATACATAGGAGCTCTGATAGCGTAGTGGTTACTAATTGGGCTGCAAACCACAAGGTCAGCAGTTCAAAACTACCAGCTGTTCTACGGGAGAAAGATGAGGTGTTCTGCTCCTGTAAAGATTTACAGCCTCGGAAACCCTGTACAAGGTCGCTATGAGTCGGAACTGACTCCAAGACATATAACAACAACAACAACAACAACAACAGGCAAATACATAGTGAAATTACTGAATCATGGAGTATGTATATGTTTAATTTTATAAGAAATGACCAGACTGTTTTCCAAAATACTGTTCTACATTCTTATCAGCAATGGTATGAAAGTTCCAGTTGCTTATCAACATTGCTATTGTTGTCCATTACCAACAAGCTGATTCCAACTCATAGTAAGTCTTTTTTAAATTTTAGCTATTGTAGTGGGGATGTAAGGGTCTGCATGGGCAATGGGTGAAGGCTTCATTTTCTCTATACCCTTGCTCACACTTGATGTTTTCCCTGTTTTTGATCATTCATCAGTTTAATGAGGATGAGGTGTTATCTCACTGTAGTTTTGATTTGCATCTCCCTAGCACCTTGGTAAGGAGCTCTGGTAGCGTAGTGGTTACAAATCAGGCTCCAAACCTCAGGGTCAGCAGTTTGAAACTACCAGCTGTTCCACAGGAGAATGATGAGGCTTTCTGCTCCCATAAAAATTTACAGTCTCGGAAACCCTGTTCAGGGTCCCTATGAGTCGGAACCGACTCCACAGCACACAACAACAACAACAAACAGCACCTTGGTGGTGCTGTAAGATAAGCACTGGATGACTGCTAACCACCAGGTCAACAGTTCAAATCCATCAGCTGCTCCGCTTGGGAAAGAAGATGAAGCTGTCTGCTCACATAAAGATTTACAGTCTCCGAAACCCTATATAGGGTTGGTCTGAATCGGAATCAATTCAATGACAGAGGAGTTTTTTTGTGTGTTGGTAGTGACTAATGAGTCCTGGTGTGGTTCTGGATAGATACGCACTGGACAGCTAACTGCAAGGACAGCAGTTGAGATTCACTTACTGCCAAACGTACATCCAGTTATTCTAGAACATTAGTTGAAAAGATACTTATTACCCTATTGAATTACATTGGCACCTTTATTATAAATCAATTACGTGGGCCTATTTCTGTACTTTCTATTCTATTTCATCAATCTGCATGTTCTTATGACAAGACCATACTGTAGCGTTATTATAAGTCTTGAACCCAGAAAGTAGAGTACAACAAATGAGGAGAAACCTCTGCAAACAATTTTCAAAACATGGAATGTATGAGGTATGAATCTAAGAAAATTGCAAGTTCTTAAAAATGAAATGGAATGCATAAGAATTGATTTCCTAGATAGTAGTGATCTGAAATGGACTGACATTGACCATTTTGAATCTGAGAGTCATATGGTTTACTATGCCAGAAACGGCAAATTCAACAGAAATGCATTGTATTCATCATCTAAAAGAACATTCCAAGACCTTTCTTGAAATACAGTGCTGTCTGTGATAAGATAATATCCATATGCTGACAAGGAAGACCAGTTAATACCACCACTATTCAAATTTATGCACCAACCACTAAAACCAGTGATAATGAAATTGAAGAATTCTACCAACTTCTTCAGCCTGAAATTGATCCAACATACAATCAAGATGTATTAATAACCACTGGTGAATGGAATGCTGAAGGTTGGAAACAAAAAGGAAAGATCAGTAGTTATAAAATATGACTTTGGTGATAGAAATGTTGCTGATGATCCCATGATAGAATTTTGCAAGACTAATGACTTATTCATTGCAAATACCTTTTTTTAAAACAACATAAAAGAAGATTGATTATACACATGGACCTCACCAGATGGGATAGACAGGACTCAAATAGACTATAGCTGTGGGAAGAGACAGTGGGAAAGCTCACCATCAGCAGCCCAAACCAGACTAGGTGCTGACTGTGAAAGAGACTATCAGTTGCTTCATCTGCAAGTTCATGCTGAAGCTGAAAATAATTAAAACAAGTTCACAAGAGCCAAAATATGGCCTTGAATGTATCCCACCTTAATTTAGAGATGATCTAAAGAACAGATTTGATGCATTAGACACTAATGACCAGCCACTAGAAGAGGTGTAGAATGACATCAAGAACATCATACCAGAGAAAGCATAAGGTCATTAAAAAGACAGGAAATAAAAGATAAAATTAGAAGTCAGAAGAGACTCTGAATCTTGCTCTCCAGCATAGAGATGCTAAAGCAAATAAAAGCAATGAGGATGTCAAAGAGCTGAATAGAAAATTTCAAAGAGCAACTTATGAAGACAAAGTAAAAAATTATAATGAAATCAAGCCTATCCCCTCAGTACACAGGGTTGATAGGGGTGGGCAACTTAGACATTGGCTGCCTAAAATGGGGAGGAGGTATAAAGGCATGAATTGGCTGACTTACACGTTTTCAAGAGGGAGTTTAGGTGGGGGTTGGGGGTGGTATGTAGAATCCCAACTGAATAGTTTTCATCTTGTCTAGCTGGGTCTGGTGAAAAGAGATGGGGATAGGATTCTTTTGATTCAATAGTGAGTTATTGTTATCATGACTAATTGTGATTGTCACAACTGTAAAGGTAGAAGTTATGTAACGAAAAGAGGAGAGGAGTTAATCTTATATTACAGGAACAGAGGACCCTAGCACCATCAAGAGGGAAGAGCATGAGTGAAATGGGGGATCCTAACTAGAGATGCAGTGACGTCACAGATGGAGGCAGAGATGAGGACAAAGGGATACTGGATGATTTAAAATCAGGAAAGGTGTTCACCAGGTGTGTTCTTTCGCCATACTTATTCAGTCTGTATGCTGGGCAAATTATCAGAGAAACTAGATTATATGAAGAAGAGTGTGGCATCATGATTGGAGGAAGACTTGTTAACGACCTATGTTATGCAGATGATACAGCTTCACTTCCTAAATGTGAAGAGCACTAAAATGCTTGCTGATGAAGATCAAAAACTACATCCTTACGTATGGATTGCACCTCAATGTAATAAAAACACAAATCCTCACCACTGGACCAATAAATAACATCATGGTAAATGGAGAAAATATTGAAGTTGTCAAAGACTTCATTGTGCTTGTATCCACAATCAACACTCATGGAAG